ATATATATATATATATATATATATAGAACGATGCATGTAGTGCAGTGGGCGGAGGCGCTTTGCAGTACACATGGGGACCAATTCCCGCGCTTCTGGGGGGTCGACAGGTTGGTACCAGACTTGTAAAGTAGGATAGTTGCTCTAGCTCGATACATCCATAGACCATTGCGAGGCATTGTAAAGGCTAGATATGAATTCAATCACCTCCAGCGATGCTTAATGGAGTCGAATGTATAGCGCATTCCTCAGGGATTGATCAACGCCGCGAGCTTATACACAAATATTTGTACGTTCATATATATGTTTATGTGTGTAATGCCGATTATTTGGTAACGACTTTACCGATACCAAATTGGTTCAGTGATTCATTAGTAGCAGCAGATTCGTGCACTATGTGAGTAAAAGATCTGCTCATGGTTTGCAGTTTGCTTGAAATCCGATCACAATTCCAACATGTTTGGTTGTCGCGAGCGATACCAAGCACGCTTCCGAATGCTCTAAAAATGTTCGACAATCTTTTTCGGTGAGTGTAACCTTTCACATTTTTGAAGCATCATTGAAAATTCACATGATTGTTTCAGCGCTCTGCTTCCACCAGATTTGCAGGAAGTAGGGAAGCAGTTGCTTTGATCTGTTGCGGCAGTGAGAACTGTGGTGCATAATTCAGTGATGAACCGTTTCGATGTGTAATGCGTCATCTTTACGGCTTTTTGGCTCTAAATATGTTGGGTCCTGAATGTTTACATAAAATATGTAGCTATTTCTTAATAACTACCGATAATTTTTAGACAACTAGAGACTTTGAGTTTAGAAGTTTATATAGACTTGTAGGACAGGCATTGCTGTAACGCCATAAATACCGCATGAAGTCCCCAATAAATTGAAGAGAGCTTTAAATCTTTCGAGCTTCCAACAAAATTTCCATAAGTACTAGTGAGACAATGGGTGCAGTACCCAGAAATTCCAACAGCTGATTCGCATCGATATTCGAAATATGAGTCGAGATGAAGGAAAGTATTAAAAGAACTACGCTTCGTGTGCTCCTGGAAGTTAGGAGTTTTGTCATTTTAGATTAAAGGGACTTGGAAAAGATCTATTGATTCCAGTGGATTATGTTTCAGTTAGTAAAGTTCACTATGAACTAAGTAGGATTAGAGCTGAACGCAACCAATATTTTCGAGCCGTATTGCTTGCAATCAATGCATACCATCAGTTTTATGTCTAATATTTTAATACATTAGTGATATCATTGATCATCATACATATTTAGTAAGGTGTTGAGATACTGGCGGTTTTTTCCGTTAAACCAACAGCTCTGGGCAATGTTGAGCTTTGTGAATTGACCTAGAAGTTGACACCAACTGCAGATCTTTTCTATTCTACCAAATGATGTTTTGATCTTTTCTGATCATTTTTTCACGTCAAGACTTATATTTCGAATACAAAAGCAGTGGAACAACGAGGGATTTGAAGTCCTCAGCTCCCCAAGCATTCTAGTGGTCAAGAAATTGTCAGCACTTATCGAAGGACCTAAAGAATTGTTGATGTATTAAGGAATAATATTGTAGCTAACACATTCTGATGTATCGATGTACACATAGCCGTTAGATTGTTTTTGTTTTTCGTGGGGCCTTAGAGGTTTAATGTTTTTATTCCATTTTCTTTTGCGTTGTTTCAGTGCCTTGAAATCGTTTGAGTTCTATATTATGTTGTAATTTATTTTTGAAAATCTGTGATATGTATCATCGGGCTAGGAAGGTTGCTGGAGATTTTATAATAAATTACGTATCCTCGCAGCAACAACACGACCAGCATAACTTCTGTTGTTAGTTTTGGTTTACATCTATCAATCCAAAGCTTATTTCATGCACTTATGCTTTGTATAATTGAATAATAACATAAGTTATGTCTTCGCAGACTTCAAAGACTATATTTTTAGATGTCAAAACGGGAATCCCGATCCGCTTCTACGAATATAAATGCGGTAGTCTAGCGACTCATAGCATCGATATGGTATGGGACAGAGATGTTTATGGATTCAGAGTGCAACATTTGTTTGGAAAAATCGTTGTTTCGGTGTGGCGAATGCGACCGTGAAGATGAGGAATGTAGTGGATATCCCTAATAGATATCCCTCTGCTAGTGATGACGATGAAGTGGAAGCTTAGAAACTTAGAAAAAAAAGAAAAAAAAACAGAAATGCTCACAGCTATTCTTGGACTTGCAGATGCTGGTGTAATGCACCTCAGTTGTTTCCGAGCATGTAGACAGAACTGGGAAATCGAAAAAGCACGCAAGCGGTTGCTGCACGAATTGAATGAAGATCAAAAGAGTCCGTTCTGAAGTCTGCGCAACAAACGCGACCTGTTTCTGGAGAGTATTGTGACGTGTGACGAGAAGTTAATCTTGAGCGACAACCGGCGAGGAAGGAAAAACATGGTTACCGTTTGGTGGTTTGCTTATGTTTTGATCCGTCACTAGTTGCGGAATCTGGTTGAAACGATTACAGCGACGAGGTGAACCAGGAATTTCAGCGTTCGAGACATCGACTGTGTTACGTAGAGGGACCAATCGTCTACGATCACCAGTGGCCCCGCGTCCCACTAGCGAGGCTTTGATCGAGATGGCCTACGAAACTGCCTCACCTGGCATACTTGTTGGAACACTTTCTTATCGACTACTACTCCTTCAAGTATTTAAACTACTACCTGTGCGATAAATGCAGTGAAACCGAGGCCGAATGACCCTCAATAACTTCATCTCCTCCAGAATTGCGCAATTCTATGCAACCAAGTATACGAAGTCGTTTCTCTTTGATAGAAATGCGTAAATTGTTATTGTTTTTATTTCGATTAGTAAAGTTTGTTCTGACGTGGGATATGCCACTTTAAATATACAGGTTGAAGTGCTGTATAAATTTCGAATCGATCCATATTTTCAACCTTTTATCATTTTCTGCTATAGATGTCATTTGATCAAGTGATGGAACAATTACACATTGCAATCCAAGGTGTCAACAGGTAATCTTTGCTACGGTCAACTAAAGACTGCTTAGACGGTAAAGGCTTTAGTAATCTTACTTGATAGCCAGTTATAAACTAACAGGTCCATGGTGAGACGGCTTTTTTGGTGAACATTTGTAAACGGCTTTCCCTTTTTTTTTTTTGTTAAGAGGTAATCACTGTTTATTAAATTCTTTATTTCCAAGAAGTTGGTGTGGTGCGTCTGATGTTTAAGCTAACTCGATCTTGTCGGGTTTCCTGGTTAAGATTTGATCTCTAGGCTAACCACCCAGCGATACATTAAAAGTTCGGAACGCGGCTCAGAATTGGCAAAAACTACGTGATTACCAAGATACAAAATTGACATTAATGTTGGCAGTTGGCTAAGGAAGTGTTTTGACTATCTTGGTTTAGGCATTGACGTGTTTAGGTACAATCCTGAAAATGTTAATGAGCTGGCCAAATGTGTGCAATTAATGGCTTCAGAAAATAGATATGATCGCGATATTGTTCTAACTGTACTGAAACTCTACCAACTCAACCCGGACAAGTAAGTTTGTTTGATATTTGGCTTTCTACCAGATTGTGTTTTCACGTGAAGTGTTCAGGTAGAGCGGTGGTTATGGGTCCCCTTAAAAATACGCATTTTCGTTGTTTCGAGCATGTGCCTTGGAGTCACCAAGCCCTTCATTCCTCGTAGGGTCGGCTTATCGTTACTAACTTAGTTGGCTAAAAACCCTGTTTCCATGCATTGGTAGACCCGTACAAATCACTGTGTAGGTTGAATATGCTTTTATCCACTTCTTCGATGCTCAAAAAAGTTTGAGGCATGCAGCATTCTCAAGAGACTGATAACCGTTGAACTCTTTATCCTTTGTCCTTTAATCTCAACCCAAGCGGACAAGTGTTAGCCGGTATTGTGATCTGTGCCTTTTTCTTAGCTTCATCAGCTGAAAGCCCATCTATGGTCTGCATATGGTTGCTGTCATGTTAGGCCATGTGAACGATGTAGTAGGTAATTTGTGCATAGTTTATAGTAACACTGCTGTAGAAAGCAGATGAAGACTATACTGCTCGATTTTGGCAGAGCCAACATGCACGTCAGTTGAAAAGCTCACTTTAAATCAGCACTTCCATCGACATCATCCTCGCTTTTTTTGAAATGCTAAGAAGAAGTTGTCGGCGTTGATCTATCTGTGAAGGATGTGCCATGCATTCGACTTCATTAGGCATGGATACTAGTGCAGAGAGCTCGAAGATTTAGAAGACCGAATGAGCACATGAAGAGTGTAGAACTAGATGGAATTATTGAAACTGCAGTTTAAACGAACAACAGCGGAATAATATGAATACATTTCAGTACGTAAATAAGGTCTTTCGTGTGCCTTCTGTACTTTACCTACATTTTGAAAATGCTCAAAAGAAGTACTGAAGGTGGTGGCACCGTGAAATCATTGCGAGTGAACTTGTTAGCGAAGAACTGATGGGACAATATCTTCGCACCCATTTGCTTATCTGAACAGCTGTTTGAATGCTCTTTTGTTGAGTGTGAAATGTGTTTTGAAGTATCATTGGATCATCCATTATTGAGTCCTAGTTTACAGTTGAACTATTAGGAAATTGTCTTAGTGCATCTTCAAAGGGAAAGAAAACTAGGTGTCAATGTGACTAGAAGAGTGTGGCGCAGTGGTCAGAGGCGCCATACAGTACACATGGGATCAATCTCGGCAGTTCAGGTTTACCAAAACTTCCATAACTCCGAAGTCAGCAAATTGGTACCAGACTTCTCTGGGAGGATAGCAGCAATGGCTTGATACATCAGTAGGCCGCTGCGAGTCATTGTAAAGGCCAGTTATGCATTCAATCACCTTCAACGATGCTTAATGAAGTCGAATGTATGACGCATCCCTTAGGGATTGATCAACGCCAAGAGCTTTGTTTCTACAGTGTTTCTAGAAGGAAAAATAACGTCCGTCAGAACGAACTGTTGTGAAAGAATTAAAGGCAGTAGTTTTAAGCAAGACTCCAGTGCGTGTTGAAGAAAGATTTCTAAAAAGCAAAAGTTTTCACTATTTTTATTCTTTTTCAGATTTGACGAAGGAATTGTTCGACTTGTTCTCTTGAAAACGTTGATGGTGCTTCCAAAAAGTGACTTTGCTCTCGCTAAATGTCTGATTGATTCAAATCGTCTAGGGTCGCAAGTGAGTGTTTTGTGTTAGTGAGTGAGCGGGTAGGTGACTACAAGATCAGAGGCTTATAATTGCCTCGAAATTAATGTCCATATTGTCTCTTCAGACGTTGACGCATTTTACGCTATTGTGTTTCTGTTATAGATTTTGTTTTGTTTTTAATGTTGACTTACGTTCATATCAAATTACTAAAATATAAATGAAGTATAAGCAGTTTCCTTCAGTTCTTTCAACAATTTGAAGTTCGGACATAATGCCTTGGAAGGCTGGCAAAAGTGTTACATTTCCCTGGGTAAATTGGTACCAGATTTGTCTGCTAGGAGGACAGCACTGGTTTGATACGTCGATAGGCGTGGGTCGTTGTAAAAGCCCGATGTGAATTCAGTCACCTCCACACGATGCTTAATGAAATCGAATACATGACGCATTCCTCCGGGTTTGATCAACGCCGACAGCTTTATCCTTTGTCCTTTATGGACGAACATATCTACGAGCATGAGGGTGGAAAAGCTAATAGAGCGCTGCATGGACAGTAGTTTCGTTCTCTGAATTTCTATATCAATAGTTCGCGACTATTTTATTTCGCGTTTCCATATCTGTTTCCTTGCTATTGACTCCGTTAACTCCCTTGAGATCCCTCATATGGGCGGTTTCCTTGAAATCTGTGAGATACCAATATGAATTAATTAGCACTATTTTCTAAAATATTACATAACCACATTTTAATTAGGAGCTGCAAAGGGTATTGGATCTTGGGACTGTGTTGGAAGCTTGTGACTTCGCTGTTTTCTGGTCGCTTATCAAAGGAGAATACAAAGTGAGAACTGATTTCTCCTCCTCGTTTGTTTATCCCTTAGAGAGTGTTTTTATAGCCAAGAACTGACGCCTCTGAGCCGTTCAAAGTTCCACAAGAAATTCCGCGGATGATCAAAGTTGTGGTTGGGTTCGAAGAGGCTGTTAGGGCGTGTAAGTTATATATGTGGCGTATTTTTGAAAAACGCTGAATTCCAATTCCATCTGTTCTTTTGTAACATTTTTCAGATGCTTGTCAAGTTATTAGTGTGACGTTTCAAAATATTGAGAAATTAACTCTGAGTCGGTTGCTTGGTGATGCTACTGGTCAGTTAATGTAAACTTTTCAGTTCGTATTTCGTGTGTTAACTCATCCTAGGTTGAGCTTGAAGTTGATTTGTCGTTAAGACAAGCAAGTTGCTGAGTACGCTAAAAGGTTTGGATGGGAAGAAAGACCAGATGGTGTTTATTTTATCGCGAATCATGAGGCAACGATTCGTACGAGGAATATTGATGAAAAGTTGCAGTTCTCCAGTGAGTTTTTTTTCCACGTCGTTGTTGTTCGGTTGAATTGTATCAGACCAGTGATTAGACTTGTTCTCGTTTTTAATATATATGTACATATATATACGTGCATATATGTATACATATATATATTATATATATATATATATGCCGATTTGTGCTCCCCACAGCAATCCCGCCGACCGGTGATTGCTGATGACAGCGTTGAGTAGAAAACTAGCTCAGAAAATCACAGAGAGCAAGGACATCCGTGGTGCAGCGTGTAATGGCACGAACCACTGAAAAGGGAAATCGTGGTTTGATCTGGTCCGGGATTCAAGTTTTGCAAATATCACAGAATCATTGTGGTTATATTGCATTTATGTATGTATATATGTATGTATATATGCATTTACATACACATGTATTGTATGTGTATACATATGTAGACATGGTTACGCATACGTACATATATATATGTATGTACATATGTATATATATATATATATAT